AGTAGGTAGGTTAGTAGGTAGGTTAGTAGGTAGGTCAGTAGGTAGGTTAGTAGGTAGGTTAGTAGGTAGGTTAGTAGGTAGGTTAGTAGGTAGGTTAGTAGGTAGGTAGGTAGGTTGGGAGGTAGGTAGGTAGGAGTAAGTAGTAAGCAGCAAGGAGGAAGGAGGAAGTAGGAAGTAGGAAGTAGTTAGTAGTTAGTAGTTAGTAGCAGTAGCAGTAGCAGTGGCAGTGGCAGTAGGAGTAGTAGTAGTAGTAGTAGTAGTAGGGAGTAGGTAGTAGGCAGTAGGCAGTAGGCAGTAGGCAGTAGGCAGTAGGGAGTAGGGAGTAGGTAGTAGGTAGGAGGTAGGAGGTAGTAGTAGTGGTAGTAGTAGTAGTAGTAGGGAGTAGGGAGTAGGTAGTAGGCAGTAGGCAGTAGGCAGTAGGGAGTAGCAGGTAGCAGGTAGCAGGTAGCAGGTAGTAGGTAGTAGGTAGTAGGTAGTAGTAGTAGTCGTAGTGGTAGTAGTAGTAGTAGTAGTGGTAGTAGTAAGGAGTAAGGAGTTAGTAGTTAGTAGTTAGTAGCACTAGTACTACTAGTAGTAGTAGTAGTAGTAGTAGTAGTGGTAACTAGAAACGATGGCCTCCAACCTATAAGCAATGGCCTCCAACCTAAGTTCCCAAAGTTGCATGGACCATGCTGAGCAGGTTTGTAACTACTGCAGAGCAGCAACGGTAATTGCGAAGCCGGAACGCAGCCTTGTGTGAAACACCGAACTGCAAAAGAGGCGATTTGAACCAAGACTGTTTCCAAACTTTGATGTTTGTACGTTTATAGTCCCCGGGTCAAGTGCTCAAAAAGGTCACATCCTTTTGGCGAGGTGGCAAGAGAAGCGGTGTCTCTCTTCAAAGAAGGCAAAGATCAGCAGGGAGAGGCAGGCCTCATTTTTGCGTAAGAGAGTCGCATCATCGAATCTACTGAGGTATTGATTCACTGTTTGGCTTCCAAGGTCCCCCCCTACTGTAACATGAGCACTGCACCCATCATGGCCGCTTCCTGATATCAACATGAACAGCAAGACGTACTGTATGACTTTGAGCAAAGGTGCTGTGTAGGGAACACTTTGTTGTGACTTTTTGCGAACCTTCTCCCCATAATGAGGTTTATTTGTGTTTTTTCTCAGAATCGTGCTGGCAAGGCTGCCGCCTTGGAAGTAGTAGTTCGTTCGTGCCTGGTCGCAAAGAAGGGCAGTGAGGCCCTGCGAGCCGCAAACGAGGCCAGTGGGTGACGGCTAAGTATGAAAATACGAAAGCC